CACACAGAAGGTCCCCCCGGGGACTTGAACCGGGAACCCTCTTGCTGTGAGGTGACGGTGCTAACCACCAACGTCGCCCCTAGACAAAAATCATTATAGTAAATCGACACTTTACCGATACAATATACCTAAAATTGATCCATAAGGCAGAGAAACTTTGCCTTTAAACATTTTTTGGGGGGGACTATCTCTCCATGTAAACCAACATTCCCATCACTATGTATTTATCAATCTCCTCAGTTCCTACATATGCTTCAATCCACAGAACACAAACGCTTTTTTTTTAAGAAGATGGCTTTTTACAGTTAAGATAGACTAAAGAATTTACAGAGACAGCCAGAGAATATGTGGTTTGTTTGTCTGTGTGACCGTCCGTTCCATCTCTCAAATGAAGTACGGCGCTGGAGCCTAATGAGCTGTGCTGGATGGTGATAGCGCACACATGCACGCACCGAACAAATACAAGTTCATTCCATGGTTTAACGGTCAGACAATTGGAGCACTTCTCTTTATTCATCAACTAAACAAATGAGCTTCCTTTGACTGTCCTCATTTCACTATCATCAAACCTATGTGTGTGTGTGTGTGTGTGTGTGTGTGTGTGTGTAAAAGCGGTGCTCTAGCACAGGTCATTCTAAGCCAATTAAGCCAGGCCGAAAGCTTTAATTAGGTTTTATAAACGAGATCAATGACCAACTATGACCGCTTCTGAGACCAGTGCTTGTATGGCATGCCCAAAATCAAAACGTGAAAAATAGCAGGGCTTGTCACATAACGTATGAGAACAAACAGGCACATGAGGCCATTCACCCATGCGCGACACAAGAATGTAAGAGACGAAATATAAGACAGGTTGTATGTTGTCGATAGGGCTGCACACTAGACTGAAAATCAGTTGTTATCCACCCACATCATAAATAAACAAAACATTGAACAATCAATCACACAAGTATTGATGAAGACCCAATTCCACTAAGAGGAACTTCAGATTTTACGCATTGTTTTATGTTTCCCTAATGTTGCGCAAACATTCTAATTCAGAGTTTAGGAAAAATATGAACCCACGGATCTCAAAATGCATATCCACTACTTCAGAGCTCACATGAAAATAGAAAAACATGAGACAGAACGTAGTGGCTCACAAAAAAAATCCCATTTGGAGCATTTTCAATCAAAACAAAATTCTATTGAGGTGAAAGGAAAGATATCTGAGACTTGTTGGATCTTAAAAAAAAACTGCTTCAAATTAATGACAGAAGTTGATTATGCACCACTGTCGTCATGTTTTTTTTTTCCTTTATGTTTCATCACAATGGTTAATCAAACCATCATTCAAACAGATGCAGTCTGATTTAGAGATCACGACTTTATAACAGCTATCTTTGCCTATGATGCCGATAATGCAATGTTGCACATGGAAATCTATTGCTTGAGAAAGCATGAGAAAAAACAAACAAACAAACAAACATTTGGCTTGCCCTATTTACTGTCCAACCGAAAATTGAAATGAACAAATTAAGAGTGTTCTGAGGTTTGTTGTTATTTGATGCGATTTGTGATTTTTTTCCCCCAGAAATATCAAACAGGGACAAAGCTTGTCTTTCTAATGACTTGGAAAGCACCCTACTGATTCAGAGTGATTAAAATCTACCCTGTCATTGTATTTCTACATGATGACATCAGTGGTTGTTAAAATTTTTGGGCAAATAAAACAAGTTTCTGGGCATAAAAACATGCTCATAAACTTTTGCTATTCAAAAACTTCTCAGGAAAAAAAATCCTCATTAAATCTGTCTGAAATCTTTTTTACCCCATGCAAAAAGAAGTTGAGGTAAACACACTAATGACTATAGTTTGTGTGAGTGTGTGTGTGTGGCAAAGTGGGAGTGAGGGAGAGGAGGGTGACATGATCAGTAACAAAAACATGCCTGATATTTACTATGAACTGGACTCATGCAGAGGGGCAGGACTGGCAGAAGTGGGTGTATGTGTGTGCACATGCTCACTAGCTGTCACCCGTAGGTCCTTTTCCTAGGAATAGAATTGAAACACTAAACAGCCCTGAAAATACACAAAGTTGTATGAAATGCATACCACACACAGGCAGTACACATGGTTCTTACAAAGACATAGACACAGAACAGACAGAGGTATCTGAGGTTCAGCTCTGTGCACCAAGGCAATTTGTAATATGGATTTCCTCTATAGGCCTTACTGTAGTGTACCATTTACCATTTCAAACCCTTTGATTTTTTTTCCACCGGTGGATAATTCATCTTCTGGACATCAATAACAGAGATCGGGACCTAATGAAGGAGTTATAGTCACAACAGCCATCACGCTGGTGTTTAAACACTGTTTAGAGTCAAATTCATTGAAAACCTCATCTGCTGTTGACATGATGGAGGACAGCTGGAGTGCAGTGTGGAAATGTGAGGGACTTTGTACCTGGACAGGGGTCAGCCAAGTGAGTATATCTAATGTACACAAAGACATACAGATAAGTGCACACGGGGGCACCGTATAACTCGGCTGATTGAGTGTGGGCCCCATGCACAGCGACACAGTTGGCGCGGGTAAAACAACACAAAAGTAAAAAAAAAGATAAGTGAACAGGCATGACTTCACCATTTTGTCTATATCATGTACTCTTTTTGTCTATGTGCAACATTGTATTCAGGCAGGGTCCAATAAAGACTGAAGAACCCAGGTAAACTAAGTGGCAGGAGATTTATTTGAAATGGAATTCTGTAATGATGCCTGGAACCAGATGTTGGCAGGTGTTTCTACAGATGCTGGAGACGATGCTGTTAAATATAGTGATCAGGCTTTAGTAGAAAATGTACGTTCCAAAAGGTTTGTGCTGACCGGTAAAATGTTGATTTGAGTTTTTGACAACTTTTCAGTTGGGAAACGGATTTGCATCAGATTTGCATTGCATTGGTGAACATGGTGGCAGGACTGTTGATTGTTAAAACATTAACAGATCCGGCTCCAAGTCTCCCTATATAAGTAAAATAACGTTCGTAACAAGTTCCACGAAGACAGAAACCTGGGCAACTAGAAAAGATTTAACCAGTGTGTTGTACCACTTAAAAGAACTACCAACAATATGAGGGAAGAAGACTTTGGCTTTTAAGCAGGTGAGGATGATGAGTTATCAGGATTGCAAAAGCTTCTGGCACACACACAAGACACACACACACACCAGGGAAGAATATGGAAAAAACAAACCATGAACCCTTGAGATTATGAGCCTTCAGAACTCAGAATGAGCTGAAAACTTCAAAGTAACCCAAACAAAAGTCCAAGAGTAGATCCATTTCAGACGTTTTTTCCATATTGGTTAACGGTTAGTATTAAAACTTTTCAAACCTGTGACTACCCAGGGATCCAAGAGATGCAAATTTTTGTCATCACATGGTATGATTCAGGTTCCATGCAGGCCTCCATGTCCTCTCCAGTCCAATTCATTATGACCTTATGCAACTACATTTAAATCGAGTGAGATAACCGAACCAACATGAATACAGAATTTAAACTGACAGTTTGTGAATGGGTTAATGCTGACCTACATTTGTACATCTTGTCTTCAGCAAATATGAGAGCATTCAAATAAGAAACGACTTGTTGAAAAAAACTGTGACATAATCTAGGAAAAAGAGAGAGTACATGTCCTGTCAAAACACCAGGAAGAAATTTGGACAACAGTTTTGACAACTGCACCACCACCACTCTTTCGGAAAAAAATACAAACAAAGAACGCATTATTATTAATAAAAAGATCAGAAGTTGAAAACGGCTCACTACAACCCCAGCCACTTTGAACATTAAAGAAACATACCTTTTCCTAGCTCAAAGTAATCTATACAGCAACAGCCTTTGCTGGCTTTATGGAGTGAGAGACTCCTGACAAACTCTGGCATGTCGTGAAACATTTTTGATCACAGGCGACGGAGAAAAGAGGGCCAGTCGCTCTGCGAAAGGCAGAGATGAAAGGATTCTTAACAGTCGTGAAATAATTGAAGAACTCTTTGGGAGAACTGGCTCGATCACCCACTGACCGGTCGGCTAACTTCAGCTGGTGTCTTGCAGGCCCTGGGCAGTCGCTCGTCAAAACCCTGGTACGCCAAACAAGAAAAAGGAGGGCGACGCACATGGGCTGCATTATTCACTAGGACGTAATGAAAGAAAGGGAAAAAAAAGAAGGTGAGGCAAAGTGCAGGAAATGGGAGAGAGAAAAGGACCTGGAAAAAAACGCAAGAGCAAGAAAGATGACAGAAAGAAAAAACATAGAAAAAGGGACACAGGGTGGGGGGAAGTTTGAAAGAATTAATAAAAAATAATAAATTAAACTAAATGTAAAATCTAAATCTGAGAGACCATCACAAGCAAGGAGACTTGTCACAGACCTACATTTATCTTAAACGTGTGTGAGCATCCCTTTCCTCATCCGTCCTTTACCCTTAATTATCCATTCTGCCTTTGTACAGCAGCAGCTCAGCTCTGACAACCGTTCTCCCCTGAGATTCACCCGGCTCCCAGCCAGAACATTAGGGAATATCAGGGAATATTACACCCAGGAATTAACGCTCCAAATCACCTTGCTGGGTTTAGGTCCCTCGCACACCCCCCTCCCTCTCTTAGACAAGATAATCCAGGCTCTAGCACCGGATATATGCCACTAATCATCAAAAAGGTAAAGGGGGAGAGGGAGGGTTGCAGGGAGGGAAGAAAAGGTACTGGAGACCTTGGAGGGAATGGAAGGAGAGGACAGAGGAGAGTGTGTTTATCAGTATTCATGTTTATGCTTGGTGGTACAGTAAGCCTGGCTCAAATATTTGACCCAAAATGGGTTGGGTCAGCAGCTGCAGTGCAAAAAAATCAATAAACTCACCGGCAGAGGGCTTAAATATTAACGTTTTAGGAAATAAAGTGGTTTTATTGGTAAAGATTTCTCTGAGATTATAGTCTCAGTAAAGTGGCATCTCACTATGCAGTTAAGGAAACTGGCTCAAAATATTTACCCGCTCCTGTGCATCCTGTTTATCTCTCTCTGCCGTAAGTTTCTGATCAACGGCCTGCTGAAGGTTCTCCCTGATCTCGCTCAGCTCCTTCTCCAGCCGCACAGCCGCCGACCTGAAAAAAACAAAAAAAATAACCAAGCTTTAGCTTGTCTTCATTGCAAAATAAATCTTACCAATACCAATAAATACTTCACATTCGCTTTTCAAGCAAACGTTTAAACTGCTTTCTTGGAATGAATTTCATACTAATATGAATTTTAAAACCTTTATTTTGACTAATTTCCCCTTAAAAAAGCACAAATGTGTCACTTAGCTATTAAGTGTGAACGTGCGAGTATATCTGTGTGTGAGCGTGTGTGTGTGTGGCAGCCGAGCTAAGGGAATGTGATGGGGATCAATATGGAGGGGTCTATTTCTGCCACGCTTGTGTGTGCCTGTGTGCATGCCAGTCGGTTAGTGTTTGCGAGCGTGTGTACACACACGCACACACACACGTGTGAGTGAGTTTGTGTGAGCCGGCTGCCCTGGCTACAGCAGAATCGATACGACAAATGATTACCATTTCCACAAACCTCCCTTCACAACCTCGCTTCGGCCGCTTGAGCCCCCACACCCCAACCCGCCCTTCCCGCGCACATACACACACGGAAACCCAAACACACACCCCCAACCCCTGAACCATGCTACACCTCACAAACCAAAAAAACAAATACAAAAAAAAGCATACAAATAAACAAAAAGACCAATTGATAAGGATAATTGATAATCGAATAATGGAAATATAGAGGTGGGGTACATGATCCAAAGTTAATATATTCAAGATTTGTCAATGAAAAAAATAATTTATGTGTAATGTCTATTCAAATTCATTGAAATTAAATTGACCCATTCAAAAACACTGAAAACCAAACCAGAATGATAAAATGTACTCATATTTGAATGAGGGCACATTATTATAAAATGTCCTTTTTTACTGTCGACTTTAATAAGTCTAATAAATGCAAACGGCCACAAATAAGAGAAAAAAATTAAACATGAGGACACAATATCCACAACACCATCTTTTGACCCTAAAGAGACTTGTTGTGGCAGGATTGGCTCTCTTTGGGTTTCAAAACTGCTTGAATTACCAAGTTTACGTGACAGTGAATGACAGAAAGCTGCCATGAATTAAAGCGTGAGATACTCAAGGGTGACTTGAATTAATCCGCCCAGGCACTCTTTTGTTTAAAAAAAAAAGAGAAGTCGATGAAAAAAAGCACTACTTCAGCAGTATCGTTCAAGACGATTTTAATAGAGTAGCTCTATGGTAGTAAAGCTAAAGCAGAACCAGATAGTCCAAAAAATAGAGAAAGAATAACGCTGATAGATTGGTCCGTGGAGAGAACATATCGTAGGATGAACAGAGTGGGAGAGAGGAAGGATAGAAAGAGAGGAGGCATCCTGTTGAGAAAGGAGGGGATTTCCCACAGCACAGATGGAAGCCATTAGTATGGTGTTGTTGCTTAAAAACCTTTCATGTCCTCGCAGTTATTAGATAATACTGGGTTAACAGTAAACAGCATAATTCTGCAAATGGATCTAATATGCAGACACAGCGATTGTTTTACCGCGCAGTACCTAAATATGGTTTAAATGTAATAAAATGTAATAATTTAGAATGTAGACTATAAAGTCTCCATACTGAGTTTTAAATTGTCGGTCGACGGATGAAAATGTTCCATGGCTTAACTTAACCGAGAAACTCCCCGAGACGGAGACTGCTGCAGTGAGGTCATGTCGAAGCCAAAGCCACAACCACAGCTATGCGCGCACAAACAGACGCGCACAAACACACACACTGCACTGGGTGATACATGCTTGGTGATGTCATCGCCGCAGCTCTGGCAGCACACAGGGGTCAGCCAGGGGTCTCAACTTTGAACTCCGTGACCTGACATCTGTTTTCTCACCATATTCTAATATTACCGTTAGATCAGGGAAGGGATGGATAACGAAAAAGCCAAAATCAAATTAGTTTTCATGTGTATTGTTCTACAGAAACGTACAAGGCTTGCTTCTTCCTTTGTGACTCTTTGTACCACTGAGCATGCATCGAGGGGCTTAAGGCTGTTCTGTTCAACATATGTTCACTTAAAAAGCCTACTGTATGCCTGTAAAAAAAAAACTAAAAAAAAAACTAAATGTTTTTGATTACGGAGCTCACACAGGGGAGCATAGAAAATAGGCTGGGGGGGATGATGCTTCTTTCCCTCTTTCCCTCTCTCCTTTCTTACCTTATTTTCTCCTCTGCTAGCTTCCGCTCATTCGGGCACCCCTCCATCCGCCTTGCCTCCTCTGCACGAGCTGCCAACTCCTCCACTGAGCAGGAGACGGAGGGAGGAAAGTGAGATAAAGATAAAGTGCAACAGTTCGCACCAGACACTTGGTTCAAATGAATTAAATAGCTATAATGGTCATATAACAGAAGAAAATGACATTTTGATGGAATGGTAATTGATGAATGACAAAATTGCCTCATGTGACCCTTGGTTGTCTGTTTTAATTAATCAAAAGGCAACTAACTTGCAACACGAATACAGACCAAAGCAGAACAGTACATCTGAGTCTGACTGAAGGATTTACATTGTACGCATATCAAGTAAGGTGATCATTGGTTCAGAATGAATAGAAAAAAACATAAACTGTAAGTCACCTTCAAAGAAAATGAAGAACTGCACCAGAGAAGAGGCACTGAATGCCTTTCACAGGTGGAGAGAGAAGGAATGAATGTGTTGCATTGCCTCCACTCAGACATAGAATCAGTCACTCTGTTGGGGGGGAAAAAAGGGAGTGATCCTACGTTTGGTCAATAGATGGCACTCTTTACCTTGAGCAGGCCACCAGAGCTCATACCCCTTCCACTGCAGCCCTTCAATCACATTCTGTTTTCAGCCTGCTCCTCTGTCTACATGCAATAAAACCCCATTGTCCAACACTTAGTAGTTTAACACATTGAGTGGATACATAATAAACCACAATCCAGGTTTCTTGGTTCGGTTTGTTTTGAAGGCCCTTACCAGTTTGAATTAAAATTTTTACTACTCGCCGTCTCCCTTCTTTTTTTTTTTGTTTTCAAAGCTGTTTTGTGAGTCAATGTTTCTTCATAGCTCCTAAAACCTTTTCACTAAATTCAGTATTCATTGAATATAACATTAACTGTCAGCCATCGATGGCCAAGGCTAGTGAATATTGAGAGGGAGTGCACACTGAATATGAAGAGGTGTGTTTGGGGATATCAGTGTGCGCGCGTGTGTGTAGAATATTTACAGGATGGACCTTGACTTTGAGTGTGCGCATGTCTATTTGACTGAGACAAATGGAAATAGAGAAAATGTTAAGTGAATTTCAGTAATGCTTTTAAGGCTGAGACAGAAGCAGCGGGACGGACAGAAAAAGAGGAATGTAAAAACGATACAGAAAGAACACAATAGCAAACAGAAAATCTACATTTGATAAAAACTAACAGCAATTTATGGTTTTGTGGCACCAAAAACTGTTTAATCGCAGCCCTTGGAAGACTGAACCTGTAACTGGCATTTCTCAATATTTTATGACAGACAAGCACATCTTGTGTGTCTGTGAGTGTGTGTGTGTGTGTGTGTGCGTGAGCGAGTGTGAGGCTATTTTACTGAACCTCAAGGTGAAAGTTTGCTATGAATCTCAATAATCGATAAAGAAGGGGATGTGAAAACTTGAGACGGGGTTCAAATTCATATTCAAGGCATTAGTCTTTAGGTGACCTCAGTGACACTTCCCACCAGGGGAGGCCACAGAGAGAGCAATTAGCTGCAAAGAATGATCGTTTACACACGCTTTCCTGTTTGCTCCCAAACACACATAAGCAAAAGGTGCCCACATGAGGGAAAATTAACAACAACCTGCTCCATGGCTTCAACTTCACAGAAATGTATTGAAACAAAGCAGCTGGACAGTGAGGAGGCTGGAGAAATGAAGTGTCAGTTTAAGAATATTTAAAATATGTACTGTTCGGCTTGAACAAATACTGCCAAATTTGTATCTACTTTTTATTTACTTAGTGTCTTAAGGGAGCACATGGGTCCACACGCTGAGCTCTGAGGTGTTTTACAAGCTGTTTTTTAGTGGCTTTGGGAGTTGAGTTTTGACAGTAGGCCGCTATCTAAAGATCTTCAGCCCCTGAGTCTAAGACTTTCTTGACCCTTTTATTCTGGCTTCGCAATTTATGGTATGTTAGTCCATAATCCAACTCTGTCCCAATCTTTCCCTCTCAACTCTTTTGGTGGATGCTTCAAAGCCCATCGTGCAGCATCAGCCGTATAATCGCAGATCCGCGGTCAGATTACTCTGCTCTCGCAGCTAACCTTTAACATGAGAGGGATGAAAACCTCGCTAACCCTGAATCAGTGGTGAGGGGCTGGGCCGGGTCCTGCCTGGTCCCTCATAAAAGCTTCATAAGGCTTCATGGGAGCTTCCTTTGGCTTTGTTGGGGGATTCGGAGCTGGCTGAGGTGCTCCCCAGAGACATCCCAAAGCCTCCCAAGACTTTTTCTCTTTTTCTGAAGTTTCAGAGGCTTGCAACACGGCCGTTGGGTAGAAGCCAAAGGGGTGCGGGCACAACGCCGCGCGCTGTCGTGCACGCAAACGCACTTCAGAAAAGAAAAAAAAAAAAATCACTGATATGCAAACAATAGTGACTCACAAAGACTAACGCACAGACAGACTCTCACACTTACACCTCAACACACTCCCCCCTTGCTCTCTTCTCTCCGCTTTATTTACAATCCTCTGGCAGCGGTACAAGGGCCCGGGGCTATAACACACGGCACCTAATGCTCAAACTGCCAGGTAATCTCATGTCTGACATCCCCCTTTGATAGAAACTGATCAATAGACTCTTGTAAAGGAGTCATTTTCTCTGATGTTTCTACCAACCACTTCTCTCTTTCTCTAACTCTCTCTCCCTTTTCTCTTCGTCTTCTCCCCCTACTCTTTTATTAGCCATACATTTATAATTCATATTTTTGGCTGGGCTGAGTGAGCTCTAAGACAAGGTGGGAGGTGTGGAGAGGTGGCGTGGTGAGGGAGGGGGGGGGTGGGGGTTGCTGATTCTTTGTGTAATAAAGAACAATAGTGTTGAAATGATGGGGAGAAATGCCAGTGTTTGCTGCCGGTTCCGGTGAACAACAGTTTTGGGGATCGATAGAGTGTGAAATGGGATTATAGCTAGTAATAGAGGTGAATTGGAGGAGAGAGGCCTGTGCACGTGTGTGTCCAGGGATCCAGATTGGATATGATCAAACGCACACACACACACATACATATGCACCCCTAATGATTTCATCATCTTTAGGCAGAAAGCACATCAGCAGTACACAGAGGTGGTAATATCATATTTCTGTTTTTGTGGAAGAGTGGAAATAAGGATATTAAGTTTGGCTCATGTTGTTATTTCATCTGCCATCCTGCAGGCAACCTCGCAAACATCCCCTTTAACGTACAAGATGGCACTATTAGTCTATCTGAATATTTTAAAGCGTCCTTCCTGTTTGAATTGCACAGATAATAAACGAGCACTTCACTTATTGACGCTTTCACGCAAATTTTCTACAACTGTTGCGGTGAACCAATATGTTACACACGATGCATGCATGGCAATATGTTAAATGTACCGAACACCAAAGCGTACCCAAGAGCCATGCATGACTGACAGCTAATTTGACACGTCGCGTCTTCCACTATATTCAAGTACTTCTTTAATCTATCTTTTTAGAATCTCTCTCTTCTTTTCAGCCTCTTTTTCCTACCTTGACATGATGTGATTGAGTCCAGCTGCCTGCATACACTTAGGTTTCATCCATGGACACTTTTCTTGATTCGAATGCTTTTACTCCCCTCTTTGCGTCTTTTTGACCATTGAATCCGCTTAATCAAATACGCATTGTGTTCGGCTCTGTCAACGCGAGCGGCCTCTATAGTAGACTTGTCCTCTATACTACTTCATGTAAAACAAGTACATGAAGTCGCTAAAATGAAGTACGTATAACATATTGCAGTATGAGTACTTTTGACGGCACCAACACTCAATGAAACGTTTCCTTAATGGAGAAAGAAACAGGAGGATTCAAGTTAATAAAAAGGCCCTTTGTTCATGACGGTAATTTCACAAGCTGACTCCTCACTCAGTTTATTCAGATCACTGCTATATCCAGGTAAACACAGTCCTTTTTGTTATAATAACGCATCTTCGTTCTTCTTAAATCACAACAATAGGCTCTGCATTGGTGGACTCTATTTGCTGTAGGTAAAAGCTGAATAATATGCGGTTTTGTTTGGAGAGCGGAGTTGAGGGAAGACGTTTTTGATCACAGACAAAGGCCAAGCTACACAGCGTTGTCCTTCTGTCTCTATCTTGTTAATGAGCACTGTTCACCAAGCAAGCCAGCCACGGTCTGCCACAGAGAGAGACCTCAGATTCATCTCTCTGTGGACAATAGGTGATTGTGTGCACGTGTGTATGTGTTTGTACCTTGGAGAATCCGTGTGCATGTGCTAATTAAAGCAGTGGGAGTTGGGAGAAATGACTGCGAGTGTGCATTTGTGAGGTGTTTGCCTGGAGTGACCGTAGATATGTACGTTAATTCTTAATGAGACATTTCTGTGGCCAGAGAGACCCAACCATCAAAATTCCTGCGCTGACACACCACTACAAAGGCCACCGTCGGACACACGCGCACACGCGCACGCTCGCACATAAAAACTAGATCATTACCATACAGCCAAAGCACTGCACCATTAAATTGAGCCTCCGTGTCCTGTGTGTGTGTGTGTGGATGTCCGAGTTAGTGACACTCGCAGACGGCTAGCAACTGAGTGACCACATTGGTGGCTTATTTGAGCAAAATGATTAACTAACAGCGGTGTGGCTGGTTTTGACACAAAAGCAGGACACGCCGCCCGCTGCAGCTCCCAGAACATGTGATGGCCCCCTGACAGACAACACCGCCTTGGAGTTCACAAGCAGGAAAATGGTCAAAGATTGATTCGACTCTGCGGCAAAATTGTTCCACAATTTTTTTTATCAACGCCGCAAGTAGTTAATTACATAGTCGTTAACTTCTTTGAGACCCAAGTGAAAAGGCACATCAGTAGCAGGGCATGTTTGAGACATATAGACTTAAATATACAAGCTCTATATGGCTATAGCAGCTGATAGCTAGCTACCTGCCTCTTGGTGCTTGCTGTGTAGCTCATCCAGCTCTTGCCTCAGTTGCCAATCAAATGTTCTCAGGCTTTTCATCTCTCCAGCAGCTGTCTTCATCTTCTCCTCCTGTTTCTGCAACAACCCCACAAGTCTTTGCGACTCCCCTCTCTGTACATCCACCTCCTTACTCCTCATCGCAGACTCCTGTTTGGCCTCCTTCAGCTGCTCCTCCGCCCTTCTGAGGAGCATCACATGTAGCTTGCGGAAGAATGAAGAGGAGTAGTGAGTGAATGGTTCAAATCAGGCCTTCCATTCTAGACAAATCCCTCTCATATGTTACATACTGTACACATGAAATGTCTACAGTAACGTACTATAGACCTGCACTTCTGGCCATTAGAGAATGTTACTTGTTGAACATGTTTAGTCCTGTCATTTCTGTTAAAAATGTCAGTCGCTGATTTCCATCACTTTTATAGCATTCCGCTGAGGGATAATTGATATCTTAAGTCCAAAAACATTTATATTTATCATTGGAGTACATCATCTTTCAATTTCCCACAGAAGTCTTATTGTTAATTGACCTGAACTCCAACAGAAAATGCATGACTAAGCATTCATGTAAATCATTAAATCTTGTATAATTACGTGCATTTGCATAATGATAAAGATTAATCATGTGTGTATACATAATATATGTGATAAATGTACATGTAGATCTCAACTTCTATGTCTCTACATGACACAGACGCATTATGTTATTCCTCGGGGAAGACGGCTACATTAATGGACAAGCCCTGACAGAGAGAAGAAAATACTACTGTTATGTTTGTTAGATTGAATTTATGTGCGCATGCAAATGATCTTAGCAAGAATAACATGCCATGGACAAATTAATGTGCGAAGCAAAACACATCCACTTATGCATAAAAGGGTTCGGACACACACAGATGATATGTGCAAGACTGCCAGTAATGTTGGCACTCTGCCAGGCTGGAGTCACCACTTTGAGTAATTTGAATATTTAGTGTCCCATTGAGCTCTTAATTGGAGTCAATTTTACCAGCCTTGGCACCGTTTGGCACTTTAATTAATGGTAAGGCAATTTGTTTCTGCCAGGCGATCACGGGACAATCACATGAGTGGTCGGCGTGCGGTGCCCGATGCAGTGGTTGGAGTACATCCCTTCAGAAAGTTTAACTGCATCTTCAGATAATGTTCTCAGCATGTGTGTGTAACATTTGGAATATCCACCAGCAAAGTGCAAGATTAAATCTTGCACCCACTTTAGGGCACTTTAATTCTGGTTATGCCAGCACAGTTTTTTTTTCTTTTGGTGAAAAAAAATCTTAATAAAGGGAGAACCAAATACACTTTCATAGTTCTAAACCAGGAACTGTAAATCCTGACCTTTTAAGCAGGTAGATGTCTATAATTAGGGTTAGGCACTTAAGCAAAGCTATTTCTGAAACAGTAACACTGATAACAAATATGAAAATAATGAACAATTACAGAAATAACAACATTTATATTAATAAAGCCTGAATTTATCTTACACTACAAACATAAACACAGCGAATTTACTATGTTGTTATATGTTTTATATGAAACTTTGTATAGAATAATAATTGCATTTAAACAGAAAGTTTAATGTAAGGATAACAGAATAGTCTTTATATCAATATCAATAATATTTCTTTATAGACCTTTTATATGATGAATTGACCTTATTTTGCCCCACTGTCATGAATGGCTCTTTTTTTTAAGGCCAACAAATGTATTATTTAAATCAACAAAAAATTGCCAATTAGAAATAATCATGGCTATATTTCCAGCGAACCTTCTCTGAAACACCTGCAAATCCTGAATGGTTCTGAGATGGACCCTATATCAACATGTTGACTGAAAGAAAGAAACTTCTGATTGAACAATTTCATTTTACACATAAAATTAACAAAGGTGTTTTCCAAATTGCAGGACAGATCAGAATTAAACAACACTCAAATACCTTTTGGGTGCCGGCCAGTTTTAGTTCTAAGGACGATACTTCTTGTTTCAAACGTGTCACTTCCTGTTCCAGTTTCCTGCGACTGCTCAGGTGCGTTTGGTGAGATGCAGCGAGACTCTTCTCCAGATCATCTTTTGCCAGAGTTCTGGAAGGAAAAGAGCAGTTTCAGAGTAAGAAAATGTCTTCTCACAGTCTTTATAATGTGACTGATTACACCAGAGGGCTATCTTAATGACAGGAAGTTTGAAGCATTGGAATATGATGTTCTACTTTTCTCCGGCTTTGTATGGTTAGTCTTTATGCTAGTGGAGTGTTGAGATATTGAGAGTGGGTTAGGGGTGGAGACACTTAAGAAGGGCATGACAGTAGAGACAAGGACGGACGCCAGGATCAGCGAGAAGAATGAGAGTTTTATTAACTCCATTATTACTGTCGTTCCAGCTCTGACTTCATCTTAAGAATAGCCTTTTCACACTCCGAAAGGCGTTCAGCTTGCTCAGTGCAGCACTGAAACGCACAAATAGAGATGCACAAACAGACACACACAAAAAAAGGGAGAGATTGTTTGTTTCTCCAAACTGACTTTTCTTATTTCTGAAAACTGCACATGGCTATTTTATCAACTAGACTGTATCCTTTTGGTTGTTTCCAAAAATAGAACTAAAAATCCAAACTGCAACATGCACGTTTAATAGTTTTACAGAGATAGTGGTAAAGGGAATTTACAATGATTATATTCCAGAACGGTACCTTCTGTAACTGTTGTCTGAGTCTTGACAGACTGAGATACTCCTCATCAGAATGAATATGACACTGCTGATAAAGGCAAAAGTTGAACTCAGCCATCAGTTTCTATGTAAAGACACCACATGAAAACAAATTAAAAGAAAAGTAATAAGTTCAAAGTAAAAAAGTGAAAATGAAAAAAATATTTCAAATCAAGACAAGAAAATGAAGATAAACCCGCCAAAAATGCAAACAGATAGTTTCAAACAGAAATGAAAAGCTAAGGCACAAAAGAAATTTCTCCTGTGAGTTGCTTTTCAATATTTATCTTAACAAATAAGTGAAGACGACATTGATTTTCCCTTAAAAAAAAAAAAAACAAAAAAAAAAAAAAAAAAAAAAAAGAAATGGCCATGTTTCAAACATCAACAAAACAAGCTCCGCATTATCAAGTAATCTAGTTTGAGCAAATGCCTCGCTGAATGAGGAGATATCTCTTAAAAACAGAGAAAAATAGAATAGAATAGAATCAATTTAAAATTTGTTTCCCAGAACTGAAAGCACTTCTACAGTCATTATTTAAAGGAAGAAATTCTTAAAATATCTTTTCTAATGGTCTTAATCTATTAACAAGAGTTCTTTCTGTAGGGAAATGATGTAACTAATTCAAAAGAAGTCATCTTTGTGGGACGGGGAGAGCAATTTTACTTATCCATCTTAACGTTAAACTGTAATATTTTCTTGTTGGAATACAAATGGACCGGATGGAATGAAGTTTCCACGCTCACATTTCTAACAATTCATACGGGAAAAAAAATAATTAAATGTGAGGTTGTTCGAAATTGGCTTTAAAGCCTCGTCTAAAAAGTTGAAACAAATTTTTTAAATGAAGATCTTGTCAGCCAGGGGAGGAAGGTGCCACAGATTTTAGGGTTAGCTGAGCCCAGCAGTGACACGAGGTAACGAATTAGCAGGACGTGAAGCTCCATGAGAACTCCTAACCTCTTGATAGGCGCCTCACAATCAAAGTCATTAGCCGGCGTAATAAAGGGCCTGAGACACAGCCATTCTTCAACAGCCTAACTCTTTTATAACCAACAGATTAAAGTTGATTGGATTAAAATGACATTCTGCCCGTCTGACCTTGGCGGCAGCAGTTAAGTTCATCCAAATTAAATTTCTCCGTAATAAAGATGATTCATTTGTTGCCTGACGTAGTAAATATAAAACCGAAAGAAAAAGGAGAAAAGATTAAGTGACACACCCCAGTGCCTGCAGTCGCATTCGTACCCACACAAATGCACGTAGATATGGACCCATAAATAGGGATATTCTAATGTATGAACTCACACAGCGTGGATGGAGGTGAAATGCACCGTGGTGCACTCGTATTGGCAAAAAACATTAACCTGTACCAACACAAATTTGATATTTTCCAGTATTTAATCTGCATGTTCTCTTTGAGAACTCGGGGAACATGTCAGTGCAGTAAGATGTGTCATCTTTATGTTAACAGCCATCCTCCGCACAGTTTTACTGATACTGACCTGTAAAAAAAAAAATGAGGAGGAGTGGAGTGCACGGGGGAAAGAAGGTGTGAAAAGAATTTTCCAAAAATAATCAGACTGACTTGTTCACAACTTCTCATGTGTCGCAGATCAGAAACAACACAAATATATACACGAAGTACAGTAAGCAGGGTGCGTTTGCTTCTAGATTTGGAGCAGGAACCGGTGCATGTTTGTCCGAACCTGCTGTTTTAGTGTGTCCATCTGTTCCTGCAGGGATCCCATCATGATCTTGAAATGGTCCTTTTCTCGCTGGCTCTCTCCCAGTTCGCTCTGATAGGCCTGCAGCTCATCTGTCAACTGGTCGAGAGCCTCCTGCGAGCTCTCCCAATGGCTAACCTTTTCCCCGTATCGCCTCTCCAGCTCGGCTAACTCTTCCTGGACCGAATGAGTTTCTAACTGTGACTCTTTGAGCTGCCATTTGGATGCAGAAAATGAGAAGAATGTTAGACCACAAACCAGCATAAGACCAAAGATGCAAAACACGTAAGACAAATGTAAATAAAATTCAATTTATATTGAGGCACCAGACGGGGAAGAATGTGATCTTGTGAACACTAAACTACGAGCGTATCAGTCGAATATCATCCACCTTTTTCTGTGAATACCGTAGCTCCTCTTCTAAGAATTCCACTTGCCCTTGCACCTTATGCACTTTTTCTATTGCTGCAGTGTACTTTTGTTTAAAAATGGTTAAGGTTTCTTTCTGCTCCCGTGCTTTCAAAACCGCCTTTTTCTGCTCTTCATCAGCCCCTTTCAGCTGCTGATGAAGAAGGTTCGTCTCCATCTCCTGCCTCTTCAGCTTGTCTTTATCTACGGCAACCTAAAGCCAAACACAGTAATGAGAAACACAAACACTGACAGAGACAAAAAAATGGCTTTTTTTAGACCAAAAGCTCTTGTTATCTTTGCTAATTATGGGTTCATGAAGACATTTTTGGACAAAAAATGTATATGACCAGTCTGAGAGACACAGTCTCTTTTGGGCCTCTATATAGGAAAGAAAGAAAGAAAGAAAGAAAGAAAGAAAGAAAGAAAGAAAGAAAGAAAGAAAGAAAGAAAGAAAGAAAGATTTGGAAAATAAGCAGCTTAATTATAGATAAAACAATAATTACGTAAATTAAAATCAATAAAAAAAATTAAAAAATTTCATTAATCCATAGATTTATGCATAGGTAAATAAATAATAATAATAATTCTAACATTTGCATTTTTTATCTTATAATGAGGAACTTAAATCTCTTCTTATTCATTTATGTACTTTAGGGGATTTTTGTTTTCTCAGCATCATTATCACCATATTATTTCTTCAGCATTCAAGCGTATAAGGCCAAGCTCATACAGCAAGACTTTAAACTCTATTTTTACATCACAGACACATGCTGGACTTCTATGGCCCTTTTCAATAACCATCAATCATTGTGTTTGCACTATACAAAGGTGTCATTTAGAAGGATCACAGAGATGTCCCAGTTTATGGCTGAATTCTCAGCTTGCTACATATTCTGAGGCTGCCGTTGGCAGGGCAGAAATTGGCCATTGAGGAACAATGTCAGCCAATGACAAAACACGTGGTAGGTTTAAAAAAACAAAAAAACATAAGGGAGAATTTAAAATTAGATTAGATTAGGTATAGCTATCATTTCACCAATACCATATCATGTAGCTAAACAATCAGAAAAAGAAAGACTTTACAAGTCAATATTTCTTCATGATATACTGTATATATACGAATATATTTATATATATATATATATATATATATATATATATATACACACACACTGCTCCACAGTAACCTCTGTCATTATGACTGGGGAACCAAGGAAGTGAAACCAGCCTTAATCCTGGCATACACTCAGAATCCTACCGTAGCTCACCTCTCAAGGGGAGAGGTTGAGAAAGTTAAACCCGCTCTAGCACTCATCTTGAGTTCATCCACGTTAATCCTGTTGTAATCTGGATCAGAACATGAGGGGTTTACAACTAATGACAGCCAACTAGTTAGATTTCAGCGGTTCGCTGCAGTTCGGTTCAACCAGGGATTAACTGGGCCTTTCTAGGACTAACACTGCATTCGGAGGTAGCATGACTGAGTAGGCAGCTTGCTCGAGCAAAAGGGAAAAGAAGGACACACAAACCAGGAAGGAAGAGAGGAGTCATTACCTGGGATGATTAAAAAAAAAAAAAACATTTCAACCACTCAGGTGTTTAAACGACTGACTCTGCCAAAACAGATGTGCTTGTGAAGGTGGGGATTGCCAGCAATTGTAAATTCATACTAAAGATGCATAAACAGGCACCAAACAAGGGGTAGCAAATAAGAAAAGAGCTTCATTTGTAATTCTGTCATCAATATACGGCCTTTTTTTTCTTCCTTGTGCCGTAGCATCTCTCTGTCTTACAGTGTAACCACTAATGGTTGACTTAGCATGTCATATCTGTTACTGGATGAAAGACCCCATAACAAGGCTTAATGTGGACACTGTGGCTTTCTTGTGACCATAATTAGGAGCGTGTGCTTTTGTGAAATAAACAACTCTCATTAAACATGATAGAAAACCCATTCGACTCTCATGACTTGACGAACCTCATTGGGCCTGTCATTTGAGTGTTCATGGGTGTCACATGACCACCCGAGATGACCCTCGGTTGATAATAACTTTATTCTTATCTTAGTCCTCTTTTTTTTTTAAATATCTCGGTGCGTTTTCATGTTGAATCCAATTAGATGTGAGAGGTTGACAAACAGAGGGGTCATCCTGTCTTATTTAGTAACTCAGATGATGTGGATGGAGATATATGTAAGCCGACAACAAAGTAAAGCTTGTGATTTAGATCTGAGTTGCATAAGTGCATCAGGTTTAGCCTTTTAAGTTGTTCACTGGATTAACACACTAGATTTTCGTTTTTTTTCTGTGAGATCATGGCTCAGCGGATGGAGCGGTGAAAAGAAAAAAAGATTTCCCTCTGGCATAAAGTCCAAGAAGGGCAGACCTCAAACGGTCTTTGAGCTTCATGACCCTCAGCTCTCTAAATTCACGCTGTCGTGTATTTGACTGGGTTCAGATTTGTTCCGTTTCAGCTGCGAAGCAGACTGCTGGTTCCAATCCAACGTGGTGTTTCAGTTTTGCGAGCCGGTTTTACAGCTAACAGGCAAAAGTTCAACTGAATCACCGATTACACAAGAGATTATTACCTGCCGGTGGAAGGGCTAAAATGATCAAAAGTTTCTCCTTAACGTAGCTATTTTCTGCCTTGGCTGCTGCTGACTAACATGAAGCTGATTGTGTAGCCGCTGTTGTTCTTCATCCTTTCGGTGCATTAGATGCTGGTGCCTCTGATCTTTCCCCTTAACTGACAGGCCTCTTTTTCATATGCTCTCACCCTTTTAAAAAAAAAAATGTCTGACCTCTTCCTGCAGCACCTATACATGAAGGGAAAAAAAAGCATTCTTGCATATGAGGTTAGAAGATAGAGCTGAGGACGGTTGCTGGTTGGGCCTTTCCATTGAGTGGGTGTGGTGGAAAGCAGGACATGGTTGAAAATACAAAAAAAAAGGGCTGACACTAAACTTGACCTCAGCACAATTAAGAAAATAGTCAGCAGAACAAACAGCTGGAAATAAACTCCGCGAATAACGTTTTACATCCTGACCACAGCAATGTCAGGAACACACAAAAATGAGAACACAGAGTCAGACAAAGACAGACCTCCAGGTGAGAGGGGTAGGGTTCATCCAGTCGCTTTTGGGCCTGAATGACAGGGACACACTCCTCCACATCGGCTCCCGGTTCATCCATCTTCTTCTGCAGCCTTTAAGAAGTGGCAAGCTCCTGTAGAAATCAAAGCGAGTCAGCCACAGCTCCCATATCACAAGACTTTTAACACTCACAAGTCACAATAACGCATTAAGCAGCAAATACAACAGAATCATATTCTAAAATGTCAAAACAATTTGACATGATCTTACATGCAGTCCAAAATTTTAAAAAAGAAAAAAAAAAGGTGTGCATTTTTAGAATCCCATCATGTTCTATAAATTCAGCAAACATTTTAATATGAATAATGAGCAATCAAAAAAGCCATTTCGGTGAATAATGACGCCTGTGTTTTTACCTCTCTCAAAGCAATCAGAGCGCCGCTTATTTCTGTCTGTGAGCTCCTTCAGCAGCACATATCCTTTTCTCCCTTTGTCGTACCTACTGTACAACGATGGAAAACATTTGTCTCTCTGCTGAAGGGGACGTTGAAAAGGATTGTGGCAATGCCGGCGTTTCCGTGACTCATTTGCAACAATCGCCGCTTCTGCATAAACAAGGGACATCTGCTAAGTTTAAAAACTTATAATGCGCTATTGTAGTCCAGAGTAATAGTGGCGGGTGGGTGGATGACACACAGGCAACACAACAGAGCAACTACAGTTTACACCACTCTTGGGTCCACAGTATCTCTGACAATTGCCTGTGTTTTGACAGTTTCCTTGGTGACCTTTCTTAATTACCCACATCAGCGGCATGCCAAAAAAAAAGCGCACGTATGTGTTGCCGTGCATGTCTGCTCATGCTTTTGTGTGGATGCGAGTCTTTACAAGTTTGCCTGGGGATTTTTTTTTTTTTTTTCCCTTTCTTTTTTTTTTCTGTCTGTCTGTGCTCATTGAGTCTGCATCTTGTCAGGGTCTCTCTCTGTTTGAGGTCAGTGAAAATGGCAAGGTTTGGGGTTTTGAGCCAACGGGGTTTCTGAAATATTTTAGGATATTTTCATCTGGGATTTTGTTTTCTCTAATACTTCAAAGATGTTATTTTTTTTCCCTTTAACTTCTCAGCGGTTGAAATATGAATAGAATCATTCTCTCCGGAAAGGAAGACTAGTGTCTGGGAATTGGGGATCAAGGTTAGTATAGCCTGTTGTCGCATACAGTACCTGACATAAGTGTCACAAAACCAGTTTTCCTATCTATAGATTAGATGTGGAGCCCGTTGGCTGGACGAAAGAGGTCGCGCTGATGGAAAACATGCTTTTTAAGTACTTGCGGCAAAGAAATTTACAGTTAATTTGCAACAGACCCTCGTGCCAAACTAAGTTATATGCTCAGCCCATCTTCCTGGACCCCTCCCCAACTCCTGTCTGTCCTGCACGAACCAGGGATTGTTTTGACCAGAGCGGAGGGCTCGTTTGTAACTGTCCACGGGGATTGATGGAGTTAACTTGACTCTTTGACCTCTCACCTCTGGCTAGTTGGCAGCCAGGCTCGTTTTAACGCACATGAGCAACAGCGAGGGAAAAAAAAAAAAGTAAAAAAACAGCACCCAAGCTGCCACGCACGCAGCTAAAGCTGAAGTGCTCGCCAGGGCTCGTGTAAACACTTGGACCCACACAAACGGGCTGTTCCGTGGACAAATATAATACGGGTGGTGTTTTGCGTTCCATAGACATCAGAGAAATAACAAAAAAAAATTAAATAAAAAAACACAACTCACACACACGACACAAAAAAATGACCAAAGCTTTTATTCACGTTTAAATTAAATTTCGTTTAATCTAACCCAGGGCAAACGCAGCGCTAACTTCCAGCCAGCCAATTTTTTAAATCTTAGCTTGATTTATCTTTGAGCGTGCGCATGTGTGTGTGTGTGCGTGCAAATTCCCAATGTGAGCGTGTGATAGGCAGAATGGATGTTGATAAACACCAGAGGATGTCGTGTCAAAACAGACAACTTGTCAAAACGACACGCTAACTAGGTCAATCACAAAGTTTAAGAAGAAACTTTGGAGTGGAGCTTTGGTTTATGCATATCTCCGCGTGGATGTCTATGTGTGTGATAAGCTCCTCAACGAATCTGCAGGAGGGGACCTCCAATATCGAAGGTATTTTTAAATCAATGAGCTCTTAAGTGTATCTCAGTCTCAATATGTTCACACATAACGCGAGCACACAACACTCAGTGTAGATAGAATCCCTACTGACAGGCAATGACAAGATAAAGAGAGGGAGAAAAAAGGGGGGACAGGACGACAGGAGGGGGAAAATAATATTTGAACAGGTGGGGGTGGAGTGGAGAGAAGGGGATGGGCTGGATGAAAGGGAGAAATGGGAAGAAAAGACAAGAAATGAGCAATAAGATAGATCAAGAGAGAAAGCAAGCTGAGTGAAAATTCAGTAAGCTATTCTTATGGTTGTTGAGCATTGTGTTCAGGACCAATGTCTCTCAATCCACAATAATGAAAGGGCTGCGAAGCCTTCTTAAACTCTGTGTACCTTCCACAGCGTCACACTCTCTGTCTCCTTTCATTTGTGTTTACTTCCTTCTCGCTTCAACCTTCTTGTCCTTTTTAAAACATTCCACTTTAACTCATCCAATGTGCCTCATACAGGAACTATTAATACGCCCTTTTGTAAACTACAGAGAAGCTACAAACCCTTTTGGTATGGAGTGTAACCAGGCCACCGCAAATAGAGACTCGCATCCGCACAATTTCACCCGACTTGGAGTTCATGTTGTTTGTTTTTATAAATAATCGACTCTATCTGGAGAAAATCAACGCTGAAAGGCTGAAAATCAAAGAAACTGACCCAATATAAAGAAAAAAAGAAGCCAAAACTTTCAAATGGTAATATGATTTTGGCACTGGGCATCAAATTCCCTGGAAATAAAGAAACATATTTTGCGTTTCTCACTGTTCACAACCCTTGAAAGCTGCTGCAAACTAGGCCCCCTTCTCTCCTTGTGTCCTTTGTGGCATGTAATTTTTGAGCAGCAGCCCCTGGTGAACTGCGTTTATGACTGCTGTCCTGGAAGAATGAAGGGAATTCTTTCCCGAAAACAAAGGCTCATGTGATATGTTTAATGGTTTTACGACTTCCAAGTTTTGGGAAAGTTTGGAACCCTCCAACACTTTAACCTCACGCTGAAATCACACAACATGTGGTTACTCACATGATGATGATGATGATGATGTGAGATAGCAAGACGGGGAACCGCAAATAGAAACTAGAGCATAAATATGCAGAAAAAAAAATAAAACAAGGCTGGGGATTTGAATAGATTAAGGGTATAATGATTGTAAATGTTACATTTACTGCACAGGAGGAAAAAAAAAAACTAATTTCTGCTGTTTTTTCATGAAGTTCTTGAGCAAGCTTATAAATAGGTCCGTCAAAACATAGCTGGTTAATTCATTTTTCTTATCAAGAGTCATCAGTTTACAACAGCAAACATGAAATATTTTACTTTCTGTGGTTTCTAACCTATAGGCTTCATGTAGAGAATTACACATTCCCACCAGAAAAGGTCTACTACTTACCTGATCTTCAGAAAAAAAGTGAGAGTAATGAGGAGTGTTGAGCAGAGTGTATATAAGATAAAGAAGACTGCGTTGACAGTATTTGCTGAGCCGTTCTAATGTTAGGACATTTGGAGCTACAGAGAGAAATACGTAATGCAGAGTTCTAAGTCTCATATACTTTCGAAGTGGGTGCAGACTTGCTCTCACCTGTGAGCACACCTACTACTGCTGTACCACTGTCCAACTGTGGGTGTGAGAGAGAGGCCTTGCAATAGATCAGAGCAATTCCATATTCTGTGTATAAAGCAAGGCCAGATGTGGAGCAGAAAGCAGAACCCTGAACAGAGTAATGCCCCATCCATTGACTTCTGCATAATTGCGTTTTCCAACCAACTGCCCTCACAACTAGCCTTACCTCCTGCCATAAACCTAACGCTGCACCCCATCTGAGGATCTTTTTGGCATTGTTCAACAGCCAAGGCAAATTGCAACAAAAGCTGGACTAAACATGAGGGTGCTGCTCCGCTCCGTTGTGCTAAAGACAGAGCTACAACAGAAGCGAAAGCTTTCCATTTAGTGGGCCGTTATTGTTCCAATGTTCACCTATGCTCACGAGATCTGGGTAGCGACTGAAAGAGTGGGGTTGCACATACAAGCAGCCAAAACGGGCTTCGTTTTGAAGGTGGCTAAAAATGGAGAAAGGTGTTTGGCTATCAGGAGGGTACTCAGAATAGTCTTGCCTGAGGAATTACATTTCCTTTCCTGCCGGGGATCACGTTGGGCTACCCCAAGTGAAGCTGGGGAGAGTTGCTTGGGAGACGGATGCCAAACATATGTCCTGAACCTGTTGTTTTTATCACCCAACCTCAGATAAGCTAAACAAAATGGACAGAGTATTGTTAATGAGGAAGCTGACAAATAGAAAGGAGCTCTTTTAAAAAATACAAGCCCTTGAAATCCACCAATTGCTGAGGCTGTCGTTGGCAGGGCAGAAATAGGCCATTCAGGAACAATGTCAGCCAATGACAACACATGTGGTAGGGTGAAAAAAAGAAATACATAATGAAGATTTAATAATTAGATTAGATATTAGAGCTTTCCTTTCATTAACTAATTGGTCAATTGAAAGGGAGGTACAAATCACGAAGCACTGACCTATGGTTTCGGTGTATTGCAAAAAGAGCACAGCATGGAAAGGTCTAACAAGCTATATACGATTTGAAAATGTGGTTTCTAAATCTTATGGCATTCTAACGTGCAAAAATGCACATTTGGAAGAAAAAATGTTTTTCTCCAATCTATCTACAGTATGGGCATGGCTTTTTGATAAGGGTGTAAATATCTAAACATCTTAAAACCTATCCTTTTGACATTCTGTGGTTACAAAAATGCAGCCCCTAACACAGTGACCGTCACATTTGACTATTTGAAACAAAGTCCTGACTTGTGCAACCCTTCATATGAGTCACATTGTGGAAAAAGACAAAGCACTAAACAAAAAAAGTCATATTTTTTTCCTCATAGTCAATAGCTCTTTATCAATCTCTTTAGCTGATATAGTACACTCTACACTGTTTTTTGACCTGGTGAACAAGAGTAATCCTCTTAATTTCATGCAAACAGTTCTCGGTTAAAACTAAAAGGGTTTTGCCTTTAATTGTTAGTGGGAAAAGAATAAGTCAGTTACCTTCTTTCTTTTAAAAGGTGTGACGTGCACAAATGGATCCCTCCGCTCCACCTCTCTGCTGGTGTGGAGCAACTGGCCGAGGATCTTCTGTCTCTGTTGTGTTCAGGTTGTGGTCTGATCCAGGGTCTCACCGATGCCATTAAACACGCATTCACTTTGTTTGTAACTGCGGGGAGGGCAGAGGCAGGAAATAAAAGCGCAAAAAAGATGAAGAATAAGCACAGCACATCTAGTTTTTCTAAGTTTTGAGGCTGGCAGACAAACAGACGGCCGCTTGCAGAGAGAACTGTGGAGAGGAGGCTCACACGGAGAAGGATGGGGGAACCATTACACCGAAATAAAGCGAGACAAGGAGGAGATTAAAGCAAACTTAGAAATGTTTTCCTCTCCTTTGTCTCCATGGCAGTGAGAGGGGAACATCATAAAGGCTTTGTGAAAGACCAGGGAACCCCACTGTTGCCGCTTTGCCTCTAGACCAATAAAGCTGCTTGGCTCACATAAAGCTGTACGGCACCAACTTTAGAGGACTGCTTTTCGAGAGTGGAGGAATGGCTGCCAGAGCTGTGTCTTGTTTTCAATCTACTCCCCCATCTGAGAACAAAAAGGTACAATAAATCACTAAGAATAGTCAGTAACCGGTAGTAAACTCAAATTTCAAACTTGAACACTGCCCACTGCTCAACATATGAGGAAGAGAAAGAAAGGTAAAGAGGGGAGTTAGAACAAAGCTTGGCATTAGACAATCAGTACTTAAAAAGCCAAGACAACTCCGTATATACTCCTGTACATTCATCAATGATCAGATGACAACATTGGACTCTGGATGAGTTCTCTTTGTTCAAGTACTTGGGTCCTGCCTTATCAAACAGACATTCTAACGGTCCTCCCCTCCTGCACTTTGCCCTACGGATACAAACACTCTACTGAAAGGTTGGCTAAAGGTTGAAAATAAGGATCTTGCCAGATAAAAAAATCTCTGCACACTTCCATTGGATCATAAATGAGTGAGATGGGATGTTTTTTGTTCCTCTTTCGGAGGTTAAATGTGCTTAATGTGCCTGTGACATGTCTGAGGAGAGAAAAAACAATTTAAAAGTGTGGCCCAAATCATTAGTAACACAAGCGGGTGCAAATATTGTGGGTAAAATGATTGTGTATAGAGCCAGAGCCCAACTCCAAAAGCAACTTTGCAGTATAATAAGGTAACCAGTCAGTGTTTGAAAAGTCAGAGCTAAAAATTGGCATCAAAGAGTGTGCCACTTTAATGTTAAGTTAAACATATTTCATTTCATTGGCTGACAGGCATCCACACCTCTGTAATACTCGCAGCCGACGAAAGATTTAGTTTGGTCAAGGACACAGTAAATGGGTTAATTTACGCCTGAAAAACACATCACTGCCACATGTCACTCTGATAGGCCCAGAGGGCCGAGAGGAGGAGGAGGAGGAAAAGGCGAGAGGAGGAGGAAAAGGCGAGAGGAGGAAAGCAGAGGTTCGAGGCAGTGAGAGGCAGAGAATGATAAGAAGTAGAGATAAAGGACAATGAAAAGAAAAAAAAAAGCTAAAGGCCATTCTATTCATCATGCGTATGACTCTTTAATGTTCACATTTATTATCACTGCTTCGCATTGGGGCGTGAGGGAAGCTGGATGACGGAGCTGTGAGAGGAAAAAGAAAAGAAAAGGAAAGGGGAAAAAAATCAAAACAATATGTGACCCGCCACTAAGTTTGCTTCCCCCTAATAAGTAACGATAACCGCACAAATATTGGCTCCTTATTGTAAGACAAGCCAATCCTCCGAGGAGCTAAGATGGTGGCAATGAGTTATTAAATATGGAGAGAGGGCAAGGGAGGGAAGTCAGTGGAGGGGGAGGGGAAGAAGGATAGATGATTAACTGTGAAGTGAGTAAAAAATGAGGAGAATTCCCAGATGTACCTTACTGGATTTGATTTAGAGAACATCGCCCAATTTTGCTCCTTATTTAAAAAGAACTCCCTTCCACTATGTAAGTGTGCATGAGAGTGTGTGGGCATGTGTGTGTGGGCGTGTGCTTCTTTCCTAGCTCTGCAGTGTGGTCAAGTTCCTGTGAGCTTGGTGCTGCATAGGGCCGGCTGCTGAGGATGTTTCACATTCAAAGTCAGTGTTCTTTTCAGAGAATCCTTTGTGACTTGAAAACCAACCGCACGCAGATCCAGGTGGCCGACATGATCGTCTCTCACTGACATCCAACACGGAAATACAGCTACACAGCCACACGTACGTACTCTGCATTACAATCCTGCAATGAAGAAACAAACACTGGATAGATATCTTACTTTAGAGTTTAGTTTCACAGTCTGTGAACCAACAACAAAATGAGAAAAATAAAGACTGTACCAGGAAGCTTTTTTTATTTCCCATCAAAGGTGAATTCATCTGAAATCATCCTGACTGTAAATAAAATAGAAGTCATGCCAGGAAATCTACCGCCGGCCCACATGTCCGAAGGTTGTAGTCGTATA